CCCAACAATACAAATGATGCAGAATTAACTACTACACAACACTTTTGTGTAATAGAAAGAGTGAGAAGCAGTTTAAAGCACTCTTCTACCTGCTTCCAGCTTTTAGCTTTTAAGTGATTAATTTAAGCATAAGCTTTCATTTGAAAACACTCTTTTCAACTTTTTTTAAGCCAAAAGCTGAAAAGCGTTTTTTTTAAACAACTCCAAACACTCCTTAAGACAATCGCTAAGAAACTGATCACCGATTCTATTAAGTAAATTAGTCTTCACTATTTTCATAACACAAAAGTGTCTCTCAACAGTTGTGGCAACTAGCTAAGTTAAAGATATATTTAAAATTATTTATTGATCAAATCATTTGCAAAAAGGGGCACTCACGACATCAAGAATGAGATTATCGTCTGAACTCTGAAGAATTCGGATCAGTAAAGACATGAGTCTCAGAGGTGAATATGTGATAAAGCTTGAGGAAGATGATTAATTCCTTTGAAATTCCGTTGTCAGTTCTGCTGGTGTGGTATCCAAAGTCCCCAGCGCTGCCTATGGAGAGAAGCGGCAAATGTTTTCTCGAGTTTTGGATGCCAAGGTTGAAATGACATGTTTTACGCAGAGATAGGGATAAATTGGGCATTGAAGGTTTTTTAGCGAGAGGCTGAATGGAAACGCTTGCCTCACTAACGTTTGTAATCAGGTCAATTATTTAAACTTCAGCTGAGTTCAGCCAATTATCCAAATAGGACTACTTATATAATTAATGACTGCATTTGAAAAAATTCAGCCCTTTATGGGCTGAAAATGCATAAAATTCTCTTTACTTACAAAAGCTGAAGTATCAACTATCAATTAAGTATACGTCTACGAATCTACGATACAATATTATTTTAGAGGGCATTGGACTGAAGCATACGGAACATAATCTTTTACTTTGGGCTGCCAAGAATTGGGAGGAGTAGGGGATTGGGGGCATTTAATTTTTTTATTGGGGGCAATTATAGAGACTCCAATTTTTCCTATTATTGGAGTTTATTGGGGGCAGCTGCCCCCTTAGTCAAGCTATGCATCCGCCCCTGGGCAGATGGTGGGTGGGGAAATTGAGGGCGGCGACAGGTGGTTAGGGTGCGAGGCTGTGGGCGATGGGTGGCAGATTGAAGATGTGTGGGCGACGACTCGCGCACGACCGCACTCCGGCAACCGGCGACGCGGGTGGCGTCTGTCCGGCGGCTCCATCTGAGGTAGTTGTGGGTTTCAGAGCTTGTTCTTTACTAGGAAGAAATAGAAGAAGAATGAAACAAAAAAGAGACGAAGAAGTGAAGTGATGCGCAGAGGGGAAGAAGTGAAGAACACAGGGAAGAAGTTGTGTGGCAGGAAGAAAGAAAGAGAAAACAGAAACAGGGAAAATAAAAAGGAAATGAAAAAAAACATGTGGATTGCCACGTCGGTCTAACAGGTGACCGAATATCAACCGGTCACTTTGATTGTTTTTTAAGACTTGATGGACTTAATTGATTCAACCTAATTAACTTTTTTACAATGGTACAAAGACTTACGGAGTATTTGACAATTTTCCCCAAAAAAATGATTTATAAAACTCATATAACCACAGACAAGAATATCAAACAGCCAAGATTAATTCTTACCAATCTATTGACCCGTGCATTGCACGACCTGATTGGCTGATTCCCTTAAAATGTACTCTGTAATACCTTTTTAGATAATACGTACGACTGTACGAGTAGTATAATAATTGAAAGTCTAGAAAATATAGAAAATCTATAATAACGAGTATAGATAATCAAATACTCCCTCCTAACTTTAAAATCTTCTCATTTGAAAAGTAGGTAGATTAAGAATAGTGAAAGAGAATATGAATTATTGAGGGTATGATAGGAAGATAGTAGAATAAGGTGATAGAACGTAGGATAAATCCAAAAAAAGTAATTGTAATAGTGTATTATATTCATAATTATTGAGGGTATGATGAGAAGATTTAGAAATAAGAAGATTTTTTTGTTACGGCCGAAAAAAGAAAGTGAGAAGATTTTAAAGTTATGGAGGGAATACAACACTTGAGGCAAAAATGTTTATAGTATTTACGTATTTGTTATCCTTTTTTCCTTTATTTAGCTTCCCACTGTTCTATTCTAGAAAACTCAAAATAGAGTATAGATATTACACATTGTTCTGGTGTTGTACAAGACTTAAAATGATTCACCGCATATAAATAGATATTACATTTGTATTTATGTATTTATGTGTAAGATAAAAGGGGCAAATAAGCTCACGTACTAATAAAAAAAGGTCAAATAAGCTTTTATACAGGAGGTTCTGTCCGGCCATCGCCATTTGGGGAGGTTCTCAATTGAATTTTTTATGAAATTTTTTGAACATCTTATTCATTAAGTCTAGTTTACTCATACCAAATTTCAGCTAACAATTCAATCGGGAAGACATTCAAATGAATTACTGAAGATAACTGCGCTTTTAATCCCAATTGAAGTTTTAGATGAAATTTGGTATGCGTAAACTACACTTAATGAATAAGATGCTCAAAAAATTTCATCTAAAAATTTCACCGGAAACTGCCCTAAATGGCGATGACCAGACAGAGCCTCCTATATAAGGACTTATTTGACCTTTTTTGGTTAGTATGTGGCTTTATTTGCCCCCTTTCCCTGGTGTAAAGATGATGTTCGGATCCTTCAAATTTATTTAGATTGATACCAATATATAGCAAATCATACATTCTGAAATTTTAAAAGGTGCATAAAAATTGATTAAGCTTTCCAATAATTTTGCTTCATCCGGTTGAACCGTTGAACAAATTAAGCATCAGATTTCTTTGAGAATTAATGAAAATGTTAGATGTAAGAGCTAAAATAGGAATCACTTGACCAGTACTAAAATATACTACCTCCGTCCCTTAAAACTTTGTCAAAGTTGACCAGCACGGAGAATAATAAAGTAAAAATTGTGTGGTTGAGGTTTGTGCAGAAGAGAGCGAAATAACAGAAACCACAAAATATTGATTAAAAGGGAAAATAATAAAGTTTTTTGGGATGTCCCGAAAAGGAAAGATGACAAAGTTTTAAGGGACGGAGAGAGTACTAATGTCCTTATGTGATTTTTATCTACCAACTGCTAATACTTAATATTACGTATCTAATTTATCAAATTTCATTTCACAACCCGTCAAATTTATTCTCCAAATAAAATTCAATATTAACTATCCGCTAACACAATTTACTAAACGCTAAGCATTAATCGCTAAACTCCGATTGCCAAACAGGTCCAAAGGTTAGACTGTTTTTACTTGGACTATTTTCAGTCTCAGATCAAACCAGACTTAAACATATTAGATCAGATTTCCACAGTTATAAAATACACAAAGACCATAAATTTACCAGAGCAAACCAAACTAATTCAAACCAGACGAGTCCATATCAAACTTAAACAGATCAAACAAGACCAGCAAAATTCAGTTCGAGTAAAAAAACATTCGTATTCATCCTCTATCCTTAAGTATTTCAGATTTGAGATTAATCATACATATAAAATAACATTGTACCTATGCATTTCTTAGGAAGTTTTTATTTGAACGGTTTTCAATCGTAGATCAGACCAGACCAGCTCAGATCAGACCATAAAGACTTGGATAGTTAACAAAATACACAGAGATCTAACATTTATCAGATCAGACTAATTTAGACCAAACGATATTAGATAAGCAAATTTCAGTGCAAGTAAAAACATCTTTGTACTATTTTGATTAATATTTATACACATATTATTTATAAGATTTCATTTAATGTTTCGATAATGAAATTTTCTTGGATGTGAAATAATCTATTTGATTTTCAATCATAGTATCTTTGTATAGGGGTGTTTGGATCAGATTCCTAAAACTATTTTTGCTCTTCCAAGGAGCAAACAGAGAAGTTGGAGTGTTTGAGCGAAGTGCAGAATTACTTCTGGTCCTCTAATGTACTTCTAGAAGCTATGGGAGGCAGCTTTTGGAAACTAACTTTTATTCTGCTTCTGCTTAAAAAAAAAAGTAGAAGTATATCACTTACAAACACCCCATATATAAGGGTGGGCATAATGGTTTGGTTTAACCAAACCGTACCAAACCAAGCTAAACCGAAACTGATCGTGTGCAATTTAGTTTGAGTTTAGTACAGAGTACTATTTCTTTCAAACTGTATTAAACTGAACCGAACAGAAACAAATAAAAACTGAACAAAACCGAACCGAACTAAAGAAACTCATAAAAACCTTCACATATTATTAAAAATTAACAAATCCAAACCCGAACTAAACCGAACGGAATCAAACCGAAAAATAGTACTCCATATGGTTTTTGTTTGGTATTAAATTCTTCCAACCCGTTCCGAACCGAAACCGGGAAAATTCCAACTCAAAAATGATATGCCCAGCTCTACCCATATTGAGTGTAATGCATCTAGAGAACTTGCTGCAACCTTAATTTTGACTGGTTCAATCTTAAATATTTGTGTCATTCAAGGTCTATATACTGAATATTGCACCCCAAGTAGAAAATGAATACTGTGGAGGTCTGTCACATATTTTAAACTTGGAAGCCAACATCCATCGAAGACAGATTTCAAACTTCTTATCCATCAGATTAAGGCATTACTTTTATTAGATTTAACTATATTGTCGCTAGAATGTGAAAAACATACTCTGTATTTTCGCCGCAATTAGAGTTCTTTATGAATAATATAGCAGTACCTTTTAAGTTAAAAAGTTATTGTAGAATTGTTTGGAGTGATGTACTAAGACAAGCAATGAAATAGGATAAATGAATATCACAACGTTTAACCTAATATCAAGAAAAATCACATGTGAAAGGTAAATTAGAATTGGAGGTAACACAATTAACACAACAAATCCAAATCCAGTATTTGGAGGTATAGATTTTAAAAGGTAAATAATAGCTAAAGGTCTAATAACCCTAGTCGGTTCAGTAACACTTAGTTCAGCTTAAATCAACTGAATTTGAAGAATTTCTTAATTTACTGAAGTTAGTTGATAAATCATAAGCATGAAACTGGAGTAGGCAAAAACAAGCTTTACTGCAAATGGCATCACTGAATAACGGAAGGACTAAAGCAAAAAATTGCAGAAACAACTGCACATCTAATTCCGAATTCCGGTTAGAACTTACAAAATCAACACGTTCTAAGTTCACCAAAAAGTAAAATACAACCAAACAGAGAAATAGACCAAATCCCCAACGAAGAATCGTCTAGCAATGTTCAGTAAATCTCTATCCACCGAACCCATAGAGAGTCCTTCCCTGCCTCTTCAGCGCGTACACGACATCCATCGCCGTCACAGTCTTCCTCCTAGCGTGCTCGGTGTAGGTCACCGCATCTCTAATCACATTCTCTAGGAAGATCTTGAGGACGCCTCTGGTCTCCTCATAGATCAGACCGGAGATCCGCTTCACGCCGCCTCTGCGGGCAAGGCGGCGGATGGCCGGCTTCGTGATGCCCTGGATGTTGTCTCGGAGAACCTTCCTGTGGCGCTTGGCGCCTCCCTTGCCCAAACCTTTGCCTCCCTTTCCGCGGCCAGACATTTTTGCACAGAGATATTGGATGAAGAAGACGATAGGGTATGATTATTGAGTCGATTGTTGTAAACGATTTAGGGCTGAGATGTTGAAAATGGGGTTGGTTGGCGTTATTTATACTTCGTACATTGAGACTCCAGGAGGTTGTTGTTTGAAAATTCGCCGGGGATCTAATCTTGATCGTCCGTTTCAAGTGGGTGATCGACGGTCACTGATTGCGATCCGGGAGTAAACCAAAGATGTACGTGAGTGGTTGATTGTTAGTGAATCGACGAATAGAATCCACCCATTGACTATTGTCAGATATACTTCGTACTTGCATGGCGCTAAATTTTGGGACTGAAGTAGAAATTTGGGCGCTCAACCTTAGTTTTTTTAAAACCAAACTCGCTTAATTTATCATAATCAAACGGACCAAAGCAGTTTACAAAGTGACAACAAGTTTCCTGTCTATCGTTCGCTCAATGACCAGACTTTGAATTAATTACCTCTGTAGAAGTCATATAATTCGTTCATCCTCTGTTTTAGTTTCACAAGTTTTTTTGCTGAAAAAACACAGCACAACAAAAAAAACGTGGGAAATAAACAAAGCAAAACAAAAATAGTAAATAAGTTTTTCAGCTAGTAAAACCGAAACCAACATCAGATCATCTGGCGGGGGCCGCGGGGCTGGAGACTAGCGCCCACCCCAACCGCGTTTTTGGGGAAGTCCAGCACCATAGCATTCTTTGCAGCTCCCCCTGGCCTCATCCTCCCAACTGTGTCTTCTCTTCAGCTCTCCTGGTCCCTCTACTTCTTGTGTCTCACCTGAACTCATAGCATTCCCCATTTTAGCTTGAGTGCTCTCTCCTGTCTCATCCGGGTCCGTGTCCTGCACTGACCTCACCATACGTGTTGTGTCCTTGCCACCTCCTGATGAGCTCCCCTCCGAAATCAACCATTTACTACCCATGTTAGGCTTTGATCTCCGTCCACTCGCTCTTAGCCACGGCCCAAATGGCCTAGTCAAAGCTTGCCCCTCTTTTAATTTTCATACAAAGAGGACATAATTTCTCAGCGTGTCCAATAATTCCACAACAAAAGCAGAAACTTGGGAGCTTCTCATATTTAAAATCTACCCAGTACCCTTCTCCCTTACTCTTTCTTAGAGTGGTCTCGATCTTTAAAGTTTTACTCACGTTCATTCAGACTCTCACACGCATATAGGTTTCCCTCTTTTTATTAAATTGTTTATCATCCCAAGTGACAATTTCACCCAGATGATTCGCAATCCTTCTCGTTGTTCCCAAATTTTCAAAACTATACGGCACATTATGAACATGTACCCAGATCTCAACTCATCTAGCGACACCTTAAGTGGGATATATATCACCCGGTTTAATCGCTTTTAACACAATCAAATTCTGATCAAACAGTCAGGGTCCATTATCTAGAACACGATTCATATCAACAGAGTGGAAAATTTTAAATAGATACCTCTGTTCGCCAATCTCTAGTATTGAGATTCCTTTGTCCGGACGCCATAAATCAGCCATGAAATCCCTGAAGAACGGAAATCGAATGACTTCGTCCGTGAGAATCGTCCCAACAACCGGAAACTCCTCCGTCTTCACTGCCCCGGTCGCCGCTTCCCCCTCCTCTTCGTCTTCAATCAGTAGTTCATCCTCAATTCTCCCAATTCCCATACCTTCATATTTAGCGGCGAGATTACCCACCTGCTCGTCCTCATGGTCTCGGTCATCTCTGTGCTCGTCATCTGCTTGTCCTCCATCACTTTGCTGCCTCGGTCGTCTAAGCCTCGCACCCCGACGCCAAAGGAGCGTCGATCGACCCGCGCCGCACGAAGACATCGAATAACTCACACCCTCAGCTCTCGCTAGGGTAAAACATTGGTACTATACGATGGCGCTCGACCTTAGTTTGTTTTTGGTTTTGTAGGTTACCTTTTGTTTTAAAAAATGAGAAAATTATCCAACATAGGATCACATGTATGCTTTTCCCTAAATAAGATCAAGTTTGTTTACCCCTAATTCTATTTAATTAATTAATTAACCTAAATAATTGCCCCTTGGTTTTTTTTTGCATAACCAAGGTTGCTGGTGGCGGTAGCACGACAGCTGTGGCGGCGGCGGCAAGAATGTTGGACAACCAGAAAAAAAAAAATCTAGATTTTTTTTCAAAGGCGGCAGCAGCAAGTGGTCGGCGGCATGCAGTCCAGGGGGCAGCAATGAGGGTATTTTGGTTCATTCATAAATAAAAAGTCTTGTTAAAGAATGTTTAAACTAATTGATCATATTTTGGGGAAAATGCCATGTTTTAGTCCTATTAAGGTAAATCTCACAAAAAATGGCATGTATTTCTCCGTCTCATAATATTCTTCCCGATTTGTCTTGAGTCGGAGTTTAAGAAAGTGAGAATAAAGTGAAAATATACGATTGTGATTGACTAAGACTAATTATATCGGGGAAAATATGACTAGTTGTGTTATTTAGATATAAATATGACTTGCTATTGTGTATTTCAAAGTATAAATAGATAATAGATGGTGGGTCACTAACAAGTAATCACTCAATATGTCACTTTTAGAAAATTTTAAAATAAAACATTTTTTATTTTAATTTAGTAATACTCCCTCCGTCCCTCAATACTTTGTCATGTTTGACTGACACGAGAAATAATAAAGTAAAAATTGTGTGGTTGAGTTTTATGCAGAGGAAAGAGAAATAATAGGAACCACAAATTCATTGATTAAAATGGAAAGTGGCAAAATTTTTGGGACAACCCAAAAAGAAAAAATGTCAAAGTTATAAGGACAGAGAGAGTATTAATGAAAATTTGCCTTTTTAGCGGCACAATCGCTTCTCAACCTAATACTCCGTATTTTTTCCCCATAATTTTATGTGGTCGGTAATTGGTCGGTTTAATTTGCATGTATGCAAGTGCTGATTGTATAATGACAAAGCCTTTTATACGCACTCTATTGTTGTACACACTTTTACACTCGTTTGAGAATACTTCTTTTGTTTGTCATAGTTAGGCAAATATGTTTTATTTGTGATAAACAAAACATCTTTGCTTTGTTTGTGACACACGGGAAATGATTTTCACAGACGAGTGTAAAAGTGTATGCAACTATGAAGTGTGCACACCAAAATTTTTTATGTATAATTAAATACTGGTAAAATACTAGGCTGATCCGAAGAGAAACGCCGTTTTGTAAATTCGGATTTTGAGAATTAAAGTACATAAGTTATGTGAAGTGCATAAGTAAACAATTTATCATATTCAAAATGATAAATGATCAAGGCACCGAGATTCACCTAGATGCTAACTACAGTTCAATAAGTTTTTTATCAATTATTATAAGTACGATATCATTATAGTATTATCGGCTTCGGTTAAGACAGCGAGAACATGATTTTCGCAATGTGTGGGTCCCATAACAGCTCACATTTATCAAGATCTAGGAAAAAACTCTGCTCATCATTGAAATATCACACACATGATATACAAGATATAGTATTGATGGCATCTCTTGCGTGGGGATAGCAGGAAATCGAGAAGGAGAAACCGGAAAGTGTTAAGTGTAGACTGTAGATTGAGTAGAAAATCTGGCAGAGTAACAATAAGCTTGTGCGCAGGAATGATGATCACTTTCCACCAGTTGGATGTGATATTTATAGTGTAAAAGAAAATACTTGGTGAACGAGTAAAATCTCCCAGCCTAATAATACAATGGCACGTGTAAAGATAGATTGGTAAGAGAATGTGGACAAATGGCTAACTAGTAGTGAACCAAATTGGTTTGATTCCATTTGTATTGAACGAAGCTACACGTATAAGCCTAGAATCTTATGTGTATAATCGTCTCGATGACGTCAGCCCCGGACATCTGTCACGCAGATGACGTAATTACAACCGTTATGCAGAACTTGAGTGCTGAAAGTTACCAAGTCCACGATCTTCCCCGAGGACATTGGCTCTGCGTAATCCAGCTCGGGGGCAATGTATTTATTAAAGAGGATAGTGGCTCCAGATTGTTTATGTGAAGTAATAATGTTGGAATTTTATCAATCCATGACCTGAGAGATACACAAACTATCTATCCGGGACCTGAAAGGTGAAATGTATCGATATAGGATCTGAATTGATAAAATTCATGTATCTTTGGGTCCGGATTGATAATTCGTGTATCTTTCGGGTCTCAGATTCATAAAATTCCAATAATGTTTTGTTTAGTTCTTTGACTCTGTGAGTCACTAGTTAACCTCAAGCTCGATTATAGTGCGGGCTTTGACTCCGTGAAGCGCTAGTTGGTCACACACTTCCTCACCTACTTCACGAGAAGGACCCGAACAAAGAAGCACTTCTCATACTTGCTCACACTGGTCACGGGCCCTCTGGAGGATTATCAACCACAGGAGGGCCCAGGCTTCCAAGCCCCAAAGTAAGACTTGATGATTTCTGGAGATCGTTTATCCGCGAATGTTGGTAACCCGACGTATATTGGAATATACCCCATCTAGTATATTTCTATCATAAATTCTTTTTTTTATTGAATATATGACCATGGACCCCCTGCCCACATACACCATTCCAGAACAGGCCCAATAGATTGTCAAAGCCTAGAAAGCAACCAAATACCCCTCGGCCGGGTCTCCACACAGCCGATACATCGAGTACACCACTGCCAAAATCGTTCCAAAAAGGCGCTGCTCTTCATGGCCGCATGTGACCCTTCGGGAAGCCAAGACTAAACCCTCGGTTCCATCTCCTCCAGCCATGAGTGCGATTCTGCCTCACTTCGGAGCCTAGCTCCATAAATTAGCTTAGATGTGTACATATATTTAATGTGCTCAACATTTATGACTAATATAAATAGACCGTCATTAGGCCGAAGTAACAGTTCGAGCATTCACTAATGCAATACACCCTCCTCTATAAGCTATCAGTTCTTGTCTCTAGATATTGCTAGTGGTTTTTGAGCAAAGCTATCAGTCCGAGCGTTCATTAATGCAACTATTAAAAGATCTCCCTTCAGAACCAATGAGAAAGGCCAGAGGTTCCAAGCAAACCATGCCTCAAATGGGAGAGAACATGACTGCCCCACAACCGTCTTACATCAACAAACCCCTCATCACTGACCCCCCCCATGCTGCTCAAACTAAAAAGGCCATTATCACTAGATTTTCAAAATAATAGGTCAGGTATCTAATAACAGGCAACACATGTAGCGGTTATAACATCAATGAAATGATTGGACAACACCTGAGTGAAATTTAACAAGCTTACCCTCAGGAAAGACACTCTTTAATACGTAATAAAATATATCTAAGGTACCCGAAATAGTATCAATCACTTGGGAGAGAGGACCAACATAGCACCAGTTGGAATACCAGAAAGACGAGTTAAGATTATATTAATATACAGGAGAGTTTGAGACTCAAAAACCTCCTTAATAGATCTTAAAGTACTCTGGAAAGAGGTCATCTAATTGGACCAAAGGATCTTACTCTGGCTAATCTTTCACCAAAGTTTCAATAAGATTTCTGAAACCCTTTTTCAATAACATGATAGCAACATCTATTCCAAGATCTACAAATGATTTTTATTATTATCTCGTGCTCTATCCAAAGAAAGTGAGAGTATTTAATTTCAATCAGATTAATAGTTGCAACAGAGATTCTGGAAATAGCCAATGTGGTAAAGAGATATAGTAACAAAAAACATTATTAATGAAGGTCACTCTATATTTTTATCCCAACCGAAAGGTAATGATGTTTCCAACAAGCAAGTTTGTTGTCAATTTTATGAACAATATGATCGAAATAATAGGTTTTCACTCTCCCCTTAGGAATAATGGAATATTGAAGCCAATATACATAAGGGAAACAGCCTTAATTAATTTAAAAAAATACTTCTAAGAATATTGCAGGTCATTCTAATAATAAAAAGCTACAGTACTCATGAGCTGACCAAAAAATTCTCAGTAAATACCAATGGTGTTCTTTAAAACCTGTAAATTTCTTTAATTAGCATTGGTAAAGTTCTTTGGCAATAATACTTGATGACAAGTACTGTAAAAGTGCAATCCGGCCAGTCCAAAATTGGAAGAAGGCCATAACTCATCCGTGACCAGTCCTATAATCCTTTTGCGTCAAAATGTTGTACTACGTATAAAATAAGCATAACAAATACTCTGACTCTCAAGATAGGCTTCATTTCACACAAATTGAAGGCCTTACAATGCCAGTCGTCCGTCAGTCCACACTTATAATCCAAAGGAACTAAATATCTATATTCAACATTTACCTCAAAGAGGTACAACAGGGCTGCTTTCTGGACTGTAGGTTCCAGAAATATAATAATAATAATAATAATAATTAAAAAGATATAAGAGTACTCCAAATATAAGAAAACCCAGCATAGTCATTCTGAGCACCTGATGATCATATGATACATTGTCTATCCTGTCGCCTAAAAGAGATGATGGGATATCCTCCTCTTCATTGTTCGTATCGGAATCAGACGTATCCCTAGTTTCGCTGTCATCCTCATCTTCGACATGCACGCTGCCAATGTCACATCTTGAGCATTTGCAGGACCCACCAAGATATGATGGGAGTTTCTCTGTACACTCAGAGAGAAGAACCTTCTGATAAGTCTCCCCTAAAAATCTCAGTTTTTGCCTAGTGGTGGGTTTTAAAACCTGTTACAGAATGGCCAAAAATGAGGAAAAAAGGTATGGAGAATGAATAGTGAAAACAAATCCTAAGAAAAGTTGGAATATTTTCTTATTATTGGATCTACTTTGGAAAATGCCAAGGAGAATGAATAGTGAATACACCTAAGTACTTACTTTTTTACATTTACTTTTTATTAGTACATAAATAAAACACTATGGATCATCCGGAAACAGAGAGCCGGAAACAGTCTCTCTGTGCTCTAGTGCAGGGGTAAGACTGCGTACATCCGACCCCCTAACCCCACCGTAGGTGGGCGCCTTTGCGGCACTGGGGTGATGATGATGATATATTAATAAAACGAATGTGAACAAATATCGAATTTCTTAGTTTGAGCCCAGCTTCGTTTTTGCCCTAGTCCCAACTCCCAAAGGGACCCTAAAGTACAACCAGACCAGAAACAAAAATGAAAGCTCACCTGCAGGAAAGTTTGTGCAAACACTCGAACAATAGATGGAAGCCTTATAACAAATAAGCTTCCCAGGGAGTTGGGGAAGTGGGTTTGCAGAAGAGTAGAACAGGTTTTTAGCATCTGCATAGGAAGTCTGAAAGGGGACAAGCCTTCACAGTCAACCAAGACAGTTATTTGAGGATTGTCTCTGTTCACTAGATGCATGATCCCGTGATACACCTGAGATACTTCAGATGCAGAAAATCGATCAATCGATTGAGCATAACAGGTGGAGTATGAATACTCAGAAGAAGAATTGCTTCTAGAGCTAAAGAAACGATAGCTTACCACCACATACTAAAGTAATGGAGTAACTCTCAACTATTTTTCACAACCTTGGAGAAATGGTTTTCACGTTTGGAACCCGGACTGGAGAAATAAAATTAGCAGACGTCTGTAGAGGAAATTGGTAATGAAAGAAAATGTAGAAGGGGATAAAACATTGGTTCAAATTCAATCAATTTATTCTAAATTTGTTGGTACTCATCTTATTTGTTCATTTCTAATAGTCCCTCCGTATTTGAAAGTTCTCTACAATAAGTTTGGGCACACCATTTAAGAGTGAAATAATAGGGGTAATGAATAGTGTAGAAAAAGTAGGAGAGAGGATGGAAAAGTATGAAATACTACGTAGAAGATAAAAAGGAGAAAAGGTAAGGGTAATTAGGTATTTTTAAAAGAAAAACTTACCAAAAAGGGACAGTGTAGCAAACTTTTAAATACAAAAAAAAAAGAGTGTAGCAAACTTTAAAATACAGAGGGAGTATATAAAGACAGAATTTTGATGTGTCAAAATTTTAAAATCATTCATCGTATTCCATTTCCTTTGAATTATATGCGGTAAAACTAAACACAAAAAATAACTCTCTAGTATTCGTTTTCGTCTCCCTAGTATGTTTAGAGATCCAAACATACTCTAAAATTGTGAAATCCAAATGGGTGGCTTCCAACAAATTTGAGTGAAATCCCACAAAAGTTTATATTTGAGTCAAATCCCATGGAAAAGTGTGATGCTTCAACATTCCAAACCACCATTAAAAGCTGAAGGGTGGAGGAATGGATCCTTAAGGGAATCTCCGATCTCATAAGATGCTAGGAAAAGGGAGAAATGCAAAAATTGATCTCTTATGTTTGAATTTGTCATGGAAAATGCTAAGAAAAATGAAATATTACTATTATTCTTTGCATATGTTTAGATTTCCTACTCTTTATGTAATAGAAATAAATGAATAAAATGGGGTTGAACAAATGTTTAAAATTATTTAGAATCCGGATTTACATTGATAAATGTAAATGAATAATAATTTCTTTACATTGACAATGTAAGAAATGTTGCGAACCACAAATTCTTTACCAAAAAGGGAAAGTGGAAGTTTTAATTGGGACAGACGGAAAAGAAAAGTTGGAAGTTTATTTAGGGACGGAGGGAGTAATTAATAATATAATACGGTGTACTAATAAATGAATAAAATGGGCTGAACAATTAGCTAAAATACATAGAGTTTGTATCTATTTTTATTTCCCTCCCCCTTTTCTTTCCTTATTATATTCCATGTTCCACGCGTACCCTAAAGATTGAGAAAAGTAAGAGGGGTACTGTGATGTGAGTTGTTAAAGAAAAATATTTGCTTCCCAAGAACAGAGCATGCAAGGAAAAGTAGTAAAAGGTTACTAGAGAGCAACAGGTTAAGACTTATGACAGAACCCCATACCAATTGCTTGACCAAAGCGTTGCCGATCACGAAATGGCAAGCTACCGCAAGCTAAACCAAGCCGTACTATCAGGAGAGGCTTCTGCTTCACATCAAATCCATGCCAAAATACCAGACTGGACCACATCTCAAGTTCTTGACAAGAAAGAATTATATAAGTCTCTCTCCATTGGATAGTTTTCTTTATAGATGAAAGTAGTCGTGAAAAGTCGCCGTCTGCAGCAATATAAAATCTATGGATGTCTTCTTCACTAATTCTGCACAGACATTAGCATGTCAGGCTCAGATGTAAGAAGAGAAGCCATTATGAGATGGTGAAATTAAGGTTATGTTTTGCATGTCATTTCATATATATGGTAAGTAAAAGATCTGAAATTTGATTTACCGCCCAAGTATCCAACTAAGATTCATGTCTGCATGCTAGATGAGAATTTCGAAATGGAAAAGTACTGGATAGAATAAATGAAAGGCTAGTCATAGTTGCTCTTAGCTTAATCTACTTCGTTTCATATTCCTTAGTACTTATATGTCCCCTCCTTTCATATGAAGTCCAGTACTACCTTTCAGTATTATAGATTATATTTCGTCCCATTTTCAACCATTTAACCTTTTCCATCTACAATTTGATTCAACTTTGTGAAACATTTCTATTAATTTCATCTCCATCTACCCTTATTGCATCTTTCATTTGGTGGTTGTTCAGTAAGCTGGGAATATATTTTTAAATAATGCGTAAAAGATTATTTATTTATCCCAGATTATTCCGAAGTAAACCAAAGAGTAATTTCATTCCAATTAATCTAACTATAGCATTAGAGATCCATAGCTGATTCCAATATATTCTTATAATTTTATCCCACAGATATTAAATTTCATTCCTCGTGTAATCATTTCGTCCAACCAAACAGCTCATCAGTATTTCATTATTAATCTAGATATACATCTAACTGTCCCAAACATGTAATAATGATATATGCGCCAATGTAATTAAATAATGAATGATAATAGGAATCCGATGGGAGGGTGATAGGCATTCAGCACAACAACCAGTTCAGTTTTATAATAAAGTCTTTCGATCTGTTCTAGCTAGATTTATGCAGAATTCTTACTGTTTTACTTGGATTGCTACCTGTGTTCTATCAGAGGGCTTGTGTGGACAGTCAAGAACAAGAAATTATCAAGTAAAAGAACAAGAAACATGAATTTGAACGGCATGAACATTAACAAGGCATTGCAAAAATGTTTATTCGATCAAGAATAACCTATCTCTCAAAGTAATTCCCTGCTCTTCCAGCTCTTTATGCAGCTGAGATAGCCAACTGGCAGGCAGTACAGGAAGATCATCCTCAGCACTGCACAAAGAAAGGTAAAGGAGGGGTTTTGGCTGAAATAAAACATGGAGTTTTAGATGTGGTAAATAAAAAATGGAGTTTTAGATGTAGTACATCCCTACAACAACAATGTAAATGCATAAATAATATGCTTATCGATGATAGATGTAAGATATTTGAAAAAAGAGAGAACTTCAATATGTTTGTCAAGCAATAAGTATCAATGGTTGCTGCTATGGCATACGCGTCATAAATTAGTGGTGTACCTTGCAGAGGCCAAAGGCTGAATAGAGGATAACTCTGGCTGAATTTCGCAAACACCATAGGAATCATCATTACCGTGATCAACTTCATTACTTTCTGTAGTGGAATTACTACATTCTGGATTATCAGAGAAAGCTGTGGCAATAGATAGCACCAGTAGTGGTCGGGATAACATCTATCCCAAAATGAAGGCCATAACTATCAGATGTCGAGATGAAGATAACAGCAGAGCTAATGATTTTCTAGATAATAAAAAACATAAGAAGAATGATAATCAAATATGAGGAGATAACAAGATACAATTAGTCATCATTTTTTCCCAACTTTAGCAATGGGCTGATACAGTCTATGACTTCACGATATATAGGAACTGTAGAGATTAGGAATAGTTGAATGTTAATTCTATTCCAAACAAAGAAAGAAAGATTACAACTTTGAGTTTCCACCAACCTGCATGCCTTTAACCAGCATTCCAAAGGGAGCCCACTTCTGGATCCATTTAAATGGAGGATAACAGATGACTTGTAAAGCCTGGAGGCTAGACCACACTGGGGGACATCTTGACTTTGAGATCCTTCTTACACTCTCCAAAGCAGCAACTTTCAATAAGAATAGTGCTATCTGACAACCAGATCCCTTTCTCAATTTCCCACCACCAAACAAAGATATCCTGCCTGAAGATTGACGTGCAAAATATTTTGAACCGGAAGAGATGGCATGTCTTTTTGAATGTTTGTTACTGATCATGGCACAGTTTGTACCAGAATTTCCTATTGACAACGGATTAGAGACTGAATTTTCCATGCAGAGTTTGTGGGGTGTTTATATAGCAGTCACTTCAAAGATGAGGAAAATTTAGATCATAAGGAGGCAAAGTCAGGTCCACTGTTGCTTGGGTTGGGTAGTTGAAGACCCTATGAGAAGCACCCAGATTCATACATAAATGAGACAAGTATTTGTAATAGGATAGCATGTGTGTTTAATTATTACAACAAAAAAACTGAGCAAAATATGTAGCTTAGTTTCAATGGAACTGCATCAGGCAAAAGCACAAAAGTAAGATAGTACGATCAGTTATCGCATTCAGATTCAGCATTTACACGATTGTCAACAAATTGTTCAAATGTGTGATAACTGATAAGAACTAGATGTGGTTTGGCATGAAGGAGCCTGGGAAAAGAGGCTTTACTGAATAGCTTCGATTGTTAAAATCATTGAACATGTGCGTCTTGCCTCTATTATGGCTTTAAAATTGTTGTTTTAAAGTCAGTTTGGACCCGACCAAACACTGGCTAAGTATAATTAGGTTCTAGGACCCAGTGTTCTGCCTAGGGGCCTTTGGCTCCCTAACCCATTTTAGAGCACTGCTTAAAGGACCCTTTCATAAATCAGTGATTGCACCAACTTACACTCTTGACGTAGATAATTTGGAATAAGTTGTGAGGAGAGCAAGCATTTAAAGTTGTGAGGAAACATGGATGACTGCATTGGACTCATTCCTCACTCAGTATTGAGCTTTCCAAAGGAATTACATGATTCTATTGACAGAAAAGCATGCTGAAGCTAAACATGCTATGATGCTAATTGCAGAAAATGTGAGAAAGAGAAAAAGGGCAAAAATTGTGCTAAGAAATCACTATTTTATTCCATCCCATGCCACATAGATCATTACACAATTACACTACTCCGTATATTATAAAATAGTTGAATGAGTTTTTGAGTTTCAACATTGAAACATGATTCCATCTTCCAAGTTTAACTGTTTGTAATACCACTGAACTTTTAAATTGTGGGATTAAAAGTGTTCGCCTTTTAAAAACGGAGGAAGCTAATGCGAGGAGATTATACCTGGATCGGGAAACTAAACTCGTTCCGGACAAGAGTCAGAGTAGCGGGATAGAATTCCAACAGAGAAAAATGAGTAAAAGTGTAGGTCGCTCAATGCCCAGCTTTTGTGCAGGCGGGTGTGGCTTTCGTTTTCGGCAAAGAAAAGACAGAAGAATATTTGGATTCGCCGGAAAGACAAATACAGGGGCGAAGATGGTATAACAACTTTGGTGGTGGGGTAGGTACGGCATTGATTGTGTAGTTACCGGAAATTTCACGAACTCGTCAAAGACTTGGCCGCTTTAAGATATGTCAAACCCCTTAATTCACTTTTCAACAGAAAAATGTTTTTTTTGTAGGCACCCTTATACTAGTCCTTATATTACTCATGTGAGAAACTATTATTTTTGTTTGAAAATGCCGTTCAAAGATAAAACAGACAATTTTCATACACAAAAGCATGTCCTTTTTTTCTGTGAACGAGACACATAAATAAAAAATAACCTCATTTTCACCTTTGTAAACACATAATTTTGATTATTTTATATTTAATTCTCTATTAGTAAAAATATTTAAAAATATTTAAAAATCGGATTATGAAAAATTGTAATGAGATGAAATTAAATAATATTTTTCATTAATAAATAAAAACAGTTAAAATAGAGTATGTAGAAAGTGCAAAATTTTCAATGCTGCTACTAAAAAAACGGAAGATCGTACTCCCTCCGTCCCTAATCTTTCTCCCATTTCGGCTGGGCACATTTATTAAGATAGTGAGATTTGTGTGGTGAAGAGTTGTGCAAAGTAGAGAGAAATGTGTAAGAATGTGTAAGAATGATTGTGAACCACAAATTCTTTGCTAAAAGGGGAAAGATGAGATAATTTTGGGACGGACAGAAAAGGAAAGTTTGAAGATAATTCAGGGACGGAGGGAGTATAATATTAACACAGGTTATGTTCACTTTATTATTTTACCTATATTAATGTAATAGTACATGAATATTGTTGAAAAAAAAGTCAATACATGACTATTTTTTCTAATGTATGACTATTTAGTTTTCCTAAAAACTAATTTATTAGCTTTATTATTCCCTATGTAATGTAACGCTTTGTCCAAAAAAAATGTAATGTAACGCTTATTATTCTATACTGGGTATTATGTTTATAATTAAAAACTAAAAATGAAATTATGAAATTGTGCCCAAGAGTCACACTTAGGAATGGACCCGAGCAGTGGCGTATCCACTATGGGGACAGTGGGGGCAGCTACCCCCACTCAACTCCAATCCAACCCCTATATATGTCCAAATTTTTACAAAAATATTGCTCGAAATAAGAGTTAAATGTAGAAAAAAATTCTAAAATAGGACTAAAAGTGTTTTCTTTAATATTAAAAGAATGAAAGGCTAAAAAATCCACTAAATTTTGTTATGTTTAACTTATATTCCGGTATGTTTAGGTAATTAGGTAATTTAGGTAAACATCTTAGTAATTAGGTGTTTAGGCTAAATAAGTCAACTTACTTTATTTTATAACTCATACAAGTTAAAACAAACATACGTAGTATATAAATTAATCAAACCTGTACATTTTATTCATACTTGTACTTGTATATACTACCTAGATATTATAAACTAAATTTAATCAAACAATATTAATAATGTGATTTGTTATTAGTGAAATATGAGACTAAATTGTAGTCAAGTTTACCCCATTCGCTAAATTTCCTGGATACGCCACTGGACCCGAGTCCGTCTGGTCCTTGTCCTGGGTTAATTAAGACGGTCCGGTCCTTGGCTAATTAAGAATATTTGATCTTATTTGTTTAATTTGATTTGATGATACTATTTTGGTCTAGCTAGTACGTGTGAGATCAAAACAACTTCAATCTTCAATCCACTTTAATGTTGTTTGAGTATTCCCATGGATTCAAAAAATGGAGGATGAGACACGTAGAAGCAAGTAAACTCATTCACAAGGCTGCATGTTGTACACGTGTAGACACTCGTTACTCTCCAAGCCAAGTGTCACCATACATTTTATTTATATCAAATTATCAATCGAATCCTTGATCCCTTGGATATATATATTTATATATCTGATCTATCGTCTACAAATGCATGTATAGTTTCAACAGGAATTAGGAGCTAGCGAAATCGAGGAGTGCGTCCGAAATTAAATAGATCAATAGATCAATCATATCGAGCTAGAGTAGAAAATAAAATTTAAGAATAATTAATTGCAGTTATATAGAGCTAGATCGGGTTTAATCTATTATTGAAGAGATCGAGGGATCGATCGGAAATATATATGGCGTCGAGCTTGGGCGGTCCAGCGTTTGCGTATACAGTTGTGTACGCAAAAGATGTTACCAAATCGGTTGATTTTTACGCTAAGGCTTTCTGCTACAACGTTCGTCGTTTGGATCACAACCTCAAGTAATTTCATTTCACCACAATTATAGTACTCGTATTATACATATCCTTACATACAAAATATAGTTCTTTTATCAATATTTGAAGTGATCCGCTTGAAACTGCATTTCATCAGTTCCTGTCGATCATTAATTAATTTATCATACTACTACATTTTATGCTTAATGAATATGTACTATGTAATTGTCTGGTCTAGTTTATTTAAGTCTAATTGTACAGAGGCATATGAATTTGGTCGGATTTTTTTAAGCCTCGTCTTAAAGAGATACTCCGTATATATAAATTTGGCAGGGTATGGAGATCCAAAATATAATGGTAACAAATTTTGTCTATAAAAAATTATATAACGTGTGGAGGGTAGGAAAAAATCCGTGCACAATAACTTAATTCAGTTAATTGTGTAATGATAAAATTAGCATCAATAATTATACCGGTATTATATTTTGCATTTGGATGTGACTTATATATGCATGTCTCCAGATGGGCAGAGCTAGAGAGCGGATCGACGACGATAGCGTTCACGCCGATGCATCAACGCGAGACCGATGATCTAACCGGGCAGGTCCAGACTCCGGATTCCGCCGGTGAGAGGCAGGCAATTGAGCTTTGCTTCGATTATGTTGACGTGGATGCTGCCTACAAGGTACGTACGTAGCTTAATTGGTTGGTTTTGCTGCATTGTTAGTGTAGTATACTGCTATTATTAATTACTTAATTATAATACTCTGAAGAATTAAATATGATTATGATGGTGGTGGTCTTATCAGAGAGCGGTGGAGAATGGGGCGGTGCCGGTGACTCCTCCCGCGGATAAAAAGTGGGGGCAAAGAGTGGGGTACGTACGAGATATCGATGGAAACGTCGTCAGGATGGGGAGCCACGTTAAGGAGCCTAAATAACCTTTTAGGTTTTCACGACCGACCGGCAACATGGCCTAACAACATTATATTCGTGTGTTTTTATTTGGTGGTTACTCGCTCTTTACATTCTGCAAAAAATGTACTAGTATTATTACGTTATTTGCCCATAAAACAATGTTGTCTGCCACTTCGAAATATTGCAATAACTTTGAAAAAAAGAATTTCCATACCACATAAAAGGAGGGAGGGTGAATATCATCGAACTCACACTCGCAGTTTTGTATCATAGTGTGAATCAATGAGGGGAAACGTGACTTGCAATTGGAAGTGTGAGTGGAAATTTAAATTGAGGGGGTACGGTATAGATTTTAATTTCCGGCAAATGAAAATTTAATTTAGTGTTCTTGATTCTTTAACCCCCATAATAGTAATAGAATCCAATAACAATCTCTATGCATGTAATGTCACAATCACTTAATTGTTGATACTTAAGGAGTGTTTGCATTAACTTAAAAACAATTTAATCCTCCGGGGTAAGATGGAATTGCGAGACCTACACCCTAGCAACTGGCTTTCATGGATTTCATGTGATTATTATTGGTTTACCGTCACAAACTCTATTTGTCAAGTTGGGTGCCAATCGAAGGAGAGGGTTAGGGCCTTTTTTTCAATGTTTTTTTGTTTTTCCCGGGTTGGGCCGGGTCTTTTGAGGGGGTTTGGGGGTGCGGGGGGGGGGGGGGGGGGGTCGGAGGTTGATTAGAAAAGCAAAAAAAATTGAACAAGCCCAGGGACCGGCCGCCGAACCCGGTGGAATCCCAGGCCCGTAGCCAAACCCTAAAAGCCCGCCCAGGACCGGGCCGGGACCGGTCCATGCATACCGGAGATTGGCTTGTTTTGTCGTCCAAGGCTTTCTTCCTGAGATCCGAACTTCAATTTGAAAGGAGGAAGGATCGGGTGTAATGAGTTTGTATATTGTTGTGTGGGGGTAACGAAATAAATGGAGTATATTGTTTGGTGGGTGTAAAGAAATAAATGGAGTATTTTGTTATTTAATGGAATAAGCACAAGGGTATTTTTGTACTTCAGCAAAATATTACATTTGCAATCACCTTTTTATCAAACACTCCTACTTTAACTTTTTTTTTATCATAATCACTTTCTCTAAAATCACTTAAAAAATCACTTTAATAATAGGGAAAACTGTCAAATAGGTCCTCGAACTTTCATAAAAAAGTCAATTAAGTCCGGCCTTCTATAGAAGACTTTGTCCGGTCGTCGCGATTTGGGGTGGTTCTCGGTGGAATTTTTTGATGAATTTTTTTGAGCATCTTATTCATCAAGTCTAGTTTACTCATACCAAATTTCAGCTAAAAATTTAATCGGGAGCGCATTCAATTTAATTCGAGAACGCAAAAATGCGCAGTTATCTTCAAGAATTAATTTGAATGTGTTCCCGATTAAATTTTAGCTGAAATTTGGTATGAGTAAACTAGACTTGGTGAATAAGATGCTCAAAAAATTTCATCAAAAAATTCCACCGGGAACTGCCCCAAACTAGACTTAATTGACCTTTTTATGAAAGTTCGAGGACCTATTTGACAGTTTTCCCTTTTAAGAATTTACCATTTTCTTTTTCGTGGTTTTGTGGTTAACTGATTAGTGTGGTTAACCGAAAAAGGCTAGCACCAACGAATCCACGCCTATAAAAGGCTAGCAGATGCTTTGCAAAATCACACAATTTCATACATGAATTGCACATTCTCTTTAGCTAAAAACACACCCAGCATTCTGCAAACTTCCTTAGTGTTCATACTGTTGTTCTCGTTCGCTGAAACTATTTGGTTGAGTGCTCAACGAATAGCTCGTAGTCATCGCATCCTGGAAAACGATCGTTGTAACGCTCCTAGCACCTCGGGAGGCAACTAATACGTTTTAAGGAAATCGTGCGTAGCACGAGCTTTGA